GATGTTTTGCCTTAAGAGAGTATTTCTTGTTTGATATTATTGTTACAAGATTAATTTGATTAATATCTTCCCAGTATGTAGATTTTATCTATTTTCAATCTTTCTATATGTTGACTGTTTCAATCTTTCTATAGGTGTGACTGTTGGAAGCTGCATTATAGCTGGATTTTAAAAATCTGCTCTATTATTTTATCCTTTAATATGTTGAATTTAATCATTTACATAGATAATGTTACTGAGTATTTGAACTTATTATTACTATATTATTTTACAGTTTCCATATGCCATTTTTTATCCCCCCCCCCCCTTCCTTGTTTTCTTTTGGATTGGAAAACATTGAACTGCGTATCAGATATATCTTAGAGCCTCTCACTTATTCTCCATACTGATTAACTGATATTTTACTTTTTTAAAAATAAAACTCTTCGCCCTTTTTTGTTGTTGTCGCTAGTCTTTGGGTAGGTCTCCTTAATAATATTTTCCAGTTTACCAGTTCTTTCCTGATTGCTCCCAGTCTGGAGTTTATCCTGTCTATTGAGTTTTTCATTTTCATCATGCCTGAATATTTTTTGTTTTGAAGATTTCTAATTTTTAATAATTTATCTTTTAAATTTTTGTCCTTTTGTATAGTTGCTTGTTCTTTATTAATAGAAGTTATTCTTTCATTTATCCTTTTGATAATATCCTAAACTTACTTTAAAAGTCTTTGTCATATTGTTTCATAAAATTATTTTTGCCAGGAGTGAATTCATGTTATTTTATATGATTCTGTTGGCTCTATTTTTGGGGTTATATTTTATTCTTGTGCCGTAGAATTTAGAGCTAGATGAGTTTTAATTTTGGGAGGAGTGTCTTTTTTGTCACTTTTAACCCCTCTGTGCTCACTTCCATCTAGTGGTTGTGGTTTCTTCCCCCTGGCTTCCCACGGCCCCAGTCCAGAAAGGTGGTTTCTGTTCTGCGGTGATATTGGAGATACCTGGATCCAGCCACAGAGCTGATTGATTGTTTGTTCTCCAGTCTCCCTGCACCTGCAGATTGCCAAATGTGGTAGCATCACACAGTGGTTTTCTGGATTTTTTTTTTTCCAGCCACATTTTTCTTCCCATCCCCTGGCTTTAAGCAGAGCTTAAGTCCAGACACTTGTCTCAGGCAACGCTTTTAGATCCCTTTTTGCTAAACAGGGACCAGACACTGGCTCCCATAGCCTGTGTGCAGACAAGACACCCAGCAAGCCTGGGGCTTCAGCCTTGTTTTCTGTGTTGTTTCTGTTTATTTTCAGGTCCACAAAAAAATGTTTATTCTGTTTTTGAGCATTGCTTATTTCTCTCTCTCTCTCTCTCTCTCTCTCTCTCTGTGTGTGTGTGTGTGTGTGTGTTTAAATATATCATTGCTATGTATTCAGAGTATGGGGAGTGCATCAGAGTTGAATTTATATAGTTATCTTGACCCGAAGTAGAAGCTTGAGTATTTCTATTTAGCTTCCAACATGTAAAAGAAATAACTCTGTAGTCCTGGAATGAGGCTAGGGGCCCTGAAGGATCACGCCTGTCTTTTCATCTTTGTATTCCAAGTATCTGTCATGGTGCGTTGCACATAGTAGATGCTCAACAAACAATATTTTTGAATGATGAAATGTCAAACATAGTGAAGTGGCCTAAATAGCTAATGCCATATGTGTATTTATGTTTACTGCATCAAAACAGCTAAACATCACTGGGGAATTCAGGAAAAGCATAAAAATGACAATGACTCTTGCCTGTGACTCCTATTGAAAACGATCCCATATGTTATCTTTTTCTAAACAAGAAAGGAATATTGATCTCACTACTTTCTGTTCTTGAAAACAGAAACACCCCTCCTTCTGTTAGACACTCTGTTTCTGAAAATAGAACAAGTATAACCTGAACAAATGAAAGAATTGACTCAGATGAAAGTTGTTTCACGAGAAACTGGTTAAGGGTCACAAAGATTGATTACATCTTATAAACATGAGTATACTAATTATCCCGATTTGATCACTGCTTATTGTACACATGTATTGATATTCGATTCTATACCCCACAAATATATATAATCAATTATCTTTCGATTAAAAAAAAGAGGTTTCAGGTCTAACTCTGAATGCTAAAGGGATCTTCAAATAGATATTTTAAAACAGGGATCTACACAGGAGCTTCTGTGGTTCCAACAGCCACAGGAAATCACAGGCAACTGTATCGATCAGCTTTTGTTGTTTAACATACCACCCCAACACATAATGACTTAAAACAAAAATCATTTATTTAGTTCGTGATTCTGTGGGCCAGCACTTTGGAGTGGGTACACTGGGGGTGGGGGTCAGCTGGTATGTGACCGGTCTCTCTTGAGCCCACTCACCTGTTGGCGGTGGTCAGTGGCCAGGTGAGCTGGGGATGCAGTGGTCTGAGATGGCTCAGCCGGGGTGGCTTATCTCTGCTCCACGTGGTCTTTCATTCTCCAACAAGTTAGCTCAGGCTTGTTCACATGGCAGTGGTTACAGTGGGCCTCAGAGAGTGAGCAGAAGTATCTACAGAGCCTCTTTATAGCTGTACAGTATCTATGAAGTCTGATTTCAGTACTCACACAGGGCTGCTTGCACTATTCTACTGGCCAAAGCAAATCTAGGGTGGAAAAATAGACTCCGCTTCTTAATGGGAGGAGGAGCAAAGTGCTGTGGCCGTTTTTGCAATTTACCACGGCAGCGAAATGTGAGGTCCCACGCCCCACTGCAGGAGAGGTCGTGTGACTTTTATTAGATTCTCAGGATATGACCTCCAAAGATAAGCACCAGTATTGTAGATGATTTTATTACTGAACGACAACAACGAAAATGTTTAGGAGATCTAATTAATGGCTACATCTGTTTAAAACACTGCTGGGTATATGGCAATAAGGTTCTTGATTGTTCCTGTGGAAAGTTATCCCTTATATCAGGGCATTAGGATAATTCTCTCTGACTTCTGTATTCAGCCTAAAAAGTAAGAACTCTGATCTAGTGTATCACTTAGCTTGTATTGTATAACACACCACCCCAAAATTTAGTGGTTTAAATCAACACCATTTACTGGACTCATGTTTCCATGGCTCAGCAGAGGAAGCTGGTCTCGGCTGGTCTCTTTCAGGGGCCTGCAGTCAGCTGCAGGTCAGCCAGGTGGCTCTGATTCTGGGCACTGACTGGTTGTCATGATGGGGGTGTCTGGGCCACTTTTCTCTTTCCATCCAGCAAATTAGCCAGGGCTCGTTCGTGAGGTGGCAGCAGGATTTCAGGAGAGTGAGTGGAAGACACAGGATCTTTTAAGGCCTAGCAAGGCTTGTTTCTGTGGAGTCAAAACAAGTCCCAAGCCAAGCCCAGACTTGCTAGGTGGGGAGATAGACTCGGATTCTTGCCAGGAGAAACTGCAAGGACGTAGGACAGGGAGGATGAAGAGTCTTGGCCATTTTTGTAATCTTCCATACTGACTCTCTTCAAGAAATTCCTTCTCGCACCTCAAATTTAAGTTAAGTACTGTCTCTGTGTATATTCCTCTGATTAAGTAGCAATACTGTGCATGCGGCAGTAGCAGTGCAAATAGCAGTAGAAAATCAGACTCGCATTTAAAACAACCTGCAAGTCTGTCATCATTAATTAGTGTCATCCCCTTTACTACTGATTCTTGTATGCATATTAATGTTTTAAAAGCATTAGCACATGATATTGATGTACTTTTCTAAAGAAAATGATTTAACATATTTTCTTCTTCCAATCCATCCTCCTTGTTCTTTAATCGAACCCCACTGGTACCAGAGTTGCTTTTCTAAAAGTCTTCTCTAACTGCTTTCTGTCTGAAGAAGAACTTTTAGGGACTTGAGCTTGGCATCTGAGCATGTGTGTGATCTGGCCTCTGCTTACTTTCAGATTTTATTTTCCTACATTCTCCCTTGAGCACTGATTTTTACAGTTAAACAAAATTTCTTGCTGTTTCTTGAGCACATTTGCCCTATACCAGTGGTTCTCAACTGTCCGGAGACTTTTTTGGTTGTCACAGTGGTGTGTGCTGCTGGTATTTAGTGGAGAGAGACCGGGGATGCTGCTAAACATCTCACAATGCACAGGACAGCCCCCACAACAAAGAATCAGTCTGATTTAAATATTAATAGTGCTGAGGTTGAGAAAACCTGCTCTACACATTCCTGCTTCTGGGTCTTTTTTCATGGTGCCTTATCCCAGAAGGCCCTTCCTTCAGTGCTGCCCGGTGAAATGTCCCCTGTCCTTAAAAGATAGCTCAGGGCCGAACCTGTGGCTCATTCGGGAGAGTGCAGTCCTGGGAGCGCAGCAGCGCTGGGAGCGCTGAGGCCGCAGGTTCGGATCCTATATAGGGATGGCCGGTTTGCTCACTGGCTGAGTGCAGTGCGGGCGACACCAAGCCAAGGGTTGCGATCCCCTTACCGGTCACAAATAAATAAATAAATAAATAAATAAAAAGATAGCTCAAATGCCAGGTCTCCTAGGAAACAGGTCCTGTATGAACCTGCCCCCAGTGCTGTGGGCTCTGAGGCCTTTCTGCGTGTCACTGAAGTGCCTACCGCTTAGTGTGTTTGCAGTCATTTGTATCTGGTAGTATTATTTTTTAAATTGCTCTTATTGTTCATCCATTGTATTTCGACTGTGAGTTTGTGTATTAACTCTTTTGCTGAACTGTGGGTTCCTGGATGACAAAGATCCTATCTCATCTTTGTACTAGAGTACCTATGGGCTTTACGCATAGTAGGTGCATAATAAATATCTGTTGAGTGAGAAATGTATGTCTCCCCATGCTCGTAGATATAGTCACTCACAACAGTTTTCTTAAAGGACTTAGTTCAAAGAATCCAACAAGTTTAATCTGAGCTTGAGAATTCAACAAGTTTAATCTGAGCTTTTTTTGATCCTGTTTTAATAATTTAGGTAAAAACTGTGATAAGGAATCATTGTATAATGCAATTACTTGTGTTTATTTCTGCAGCTATTTAGTGAAAAAATAAGTGGTGCTGAAGGAACAAAACTAGATGACGAATTTCTTGACATGGAAAGGGTAAGAAAGCATTTTAATATGTAAATTGTATTAGAAACTGACTTTTTTGTGATATAAGATATACCGCTACTATAAAGGATAGTAGAGTGGAAATCTAGGATGTTTAAATATAGGCGTGGATTATGCAATCCAAAAAGCAATACTTTCGCATTTTCAAACCCAAATCAGACACTCGCTGTAACCACATCCAGTCTAGGCAGGTTGTGGAGGGAGATGGGATGTGGATGACTGGTTCCCTCTAGTGGCCAGAAGTCAGATTGCACAAAAGATGGACAACCTTGGCAAACAGTTATTGCAAGGCCAAAGTAATTGTGGTTATATATCTTGGAGAATGAAAATGTACTGATGGGACAAGACCCTTCAAATATATAACGATTGATCTACTGTGTGGAAGACTCAGACTCTGTGCCTATGTGTTTCAGCAGCTACACAGCAAATAACTTTTATCCTGTTTCTGCCACTGGAACAGCAGTGTGAACTCAGATAAGCTATTTCACCTTTTCTGAGCTGTGATCCAAAGATGATAATGTATGTCCTGCTTGTCTTACATAGATGTTATGAGAAGTATGCAAAAAAAAAATAGTGTGGTTGAAAGAATTTAGAAAAATGTCACCAGCTTGGTACAGAAATGACAGTAACACACGCCAAAGGAAGATTGTAGAATCTCTGTCCCTTAACATGTTTCCTGGTCACCTGTGTGGAGTAGCTTAGGTGGAGGCAGAACTGGGACCACCAGTAATTACTAACTTACTCTGTTTCCTTCCTCTTTATCTTGGGCCCTTTAAATATAGCCTTGTTTTAATAAATAAACTCCCCTAAGGAGAGAGCAAGGAGATAAAACAATCCTCTACCCTCAGGTGTAACATCAAGGCTACGGGTGATAGCAGGTGGCAGAGCTGTCGGCACGTGCTGGGGAAGGATGCCCAGCCCCCGGGTGTGGCCTGGGGATCCTTTCTTCAGGATACTTTGGCCATGGCCAGCCTATTCTCTGGGAGTTCTCTGTTTCTGGATGAGAGCTATTAAATTTCTATAAATGCTGATACCTTGAGGGGGAAAGCTTATTTTGTTTTTGCCTTTGAAAAATGTTTCCGAAAATTCAAAACCATGGAAACATTTTCACATCATTGACATACCTTAAATTTCTTTTAAAATCTGTTGGTATACAAAGATATTATGGGAATGATTCAGTTGAAATGTTAAATTTAAAATCAAAATTATATTTCAGGAGTTTTAGTTTCCGTTGATGAACTGAGATCACTCTTGTTGACCTCATTTTCTCGCCAAAAATGTTAGTGAGACAGAAGAGATATAAAAATAAAATCTATTACCTGTTTTATTACAGCAGAGAAAAGCATGGAAATATATAATACTTGACCAGTAGATTTAAGGACTTTCTAAAAGAGATGCAGTAGGTGGTATCAGGCCCACCTCAAACATGACACAGAAATGACAGGCTAAACCAAAAAAAATTTATGACAAATGCTAACCATACAAAAATAGAGGAGCAATAGTTAACATCGAAGTAACACATGATGCAAAAAAATACTAAATGGAAAAAGCTTTCTTTTAATTATAAAAAGATGCTGTCAATGTAGTCTATTAGGAAATTAGAATAGTTATGAACCATTTTTGCATCACATAATGTAGCATCTAAATTTGTAGGGTAAAAGTTGTCAGAATACACGGAGAATTGACACAAATTAGAGTAGAAGACTTCATGTACCTCTCTCATAAAATAACAAATCAAATTGACAATAATCAATAGGCTTATGAAGAATTAGCATAAAATACGATTAATAACTTTGATTATAAATAAATATAGACATCTGCATTCCCCAAATGGAGAATGCACATCAAATTTTTCTAATTCCTTTGCAACGATTATAATAATCAATCATGTATCAGGCTACAGAAAGAAACTCGATCATGTATCAGGTTACAGAAAGAAACTCAATAAATTTCCCAAAGTAAAATCATAGAACACAAGAATTACAAGGAAGGTATAGGTTCCAAATTCTGGATGTTTAGAAACTTAAAAACATGGAAAATTAATTCTTAGTTTAAAGAGGAAATGAAAAGTAAAAGTACAGATTATTTAGTCATGAGTGACAGAGTTCTAGATGTCAAAACCTGTGATATATGGCTGTCTTTAATGCCTTTAATAGAAAATAAATGTTAGGAGAAAATAAAGAAATCGTGCAATCCAAGAAGCTTGGAAAACTACAGCAAATTGAATCACTCCAGGTAGAAGGTAGATAAAGTGATTAAAAAGATTAATAAAATAGAAAATGATGATAAAAAGATAGAAACAATAAAGCCAAGAGCTGTTTATTTATTTCTGAAAAGCCATACAATGATAAACCTCCACCAAGTGTGACTATGAGAGAGAAAAGGGAAAAAGACAAATAAATTACGCAAAGAATAAGAAAGAGGATGTAACCACAGATATGGGCTCTTTTTAAAGAGAATTCCGTAAACAGCCACGAGGGAGCAGGGCTGCTAGCAGCTGTCTAACTCAGGGGCCGGGGCTGGGTGAGTCAGTGACACAGGCTCTAGACACCTCGTGGGCAGGGCGCCAACACTGAACGGAAATTCCAGATTTAATCATCCAGCAGAGATGCCTCCACAGCAGGCAGACCGGACAAAAATAATTTCCACCTCTCTACCTTCCTCTGTTTTTCCTGATGTTTTGCCAAGATATTTGCATAGCACTTGGCTAACCTGAAAACACACACACACACACACACACACACACACACACACGCACACACTCTGGAAGGAAGTTTTTTGTTTGTTTGTTTGTTTTTAAAACCATATGAGTTGTTTTTTCAGTGTTCACTTGTCTGCCCATGCTTGCCAGCATATTTAATGGGCATTCTCTTTAATTTGTAAGGGGTTTATCTCCAGTTTTGATGTCTGTCCTGTACTGGAAACAGCTCCAGTATGTGCATGTCAGGGCCTATGAGGCATTTGCAAGTTTTTGGCCATTTGTTTCTTGGCCTTTCCCCACCCCCACCCACCCCCAAATTAGAAGGATCTAAAGTAGAAAATATCCCCCTTCTAATTTCCCTCATCACTGTCTTTCAAAAGTGACTCTTAGCCTCCTGGTGGCTTTTCATGACCAAAGAAGGGTGTATACATTAAAGAGAACACTCTTAAGTTGTGTTTTAGTTAATATCTAATTTATTAAAGTCATCAATCTAAAACCTAGTTTTTCTTATGCTTTAAGTTGAACTTATGAATCTTATTTGTAAATTTAGTAATTTTGATATAAAAATGATAATCGTTTTTAGTTATTCTTCATTTTATGTTCTATTAACTCATAAGCTTAATAAAGCCCATCCTTAAATATTTATTACCAGTTACATAATTAGGCAAATTCCCTTAGATATTTCAAACTACAATTACAAATGCAATGCACGGGATTCCCTCCAACTTCACAACAAATCTAAAACAGGATTTTCCTAAGCACTTAAATTTCTTGTAACTAATAAAACGTAAACGTTTAGGTGATTAAATTCTCTTAAACATTTCAAAGATCATGATAAACTGTGAATATACAAAATAGAGTTCAAAGTTTACAAAACCTGTTACCAGGCTCAATGCACACGCACACATGCTTATTCGCACACACACAGCACATGGGTATCAGTAATACAGGTTTGATTCATTTCTTATCATTTCCGTACTGTCTTTTTTAACTTTCCTGGGGCTCCAAATTTAGGCATTCACCAAAGGGAGCAAATAGAATTTCAGGCTGGATGAGAGTGCTTGGTTGAAAACTTGTGGTCGTGACCAGGTCATAGTTTTTTAAATTACAGAAATGAATTGTTTTCCTATTATAAATTTCTCTGCAGCTTGCTTTCCTCCTTAGCAATGCACCGTGGGCATCCCCCTAGTACAGATAGATAGTCTTTATTTATTTTTTTTATGACTAAAGAGTGTTCCTTTATTTGGCTGTTTCAAAATGTACACAGTTAGTCTCCTATAGATTATAATTTAGTTTGTTTTCAATTTTTAATACTACATAAGATGGTCCAATGAACATCTTTTTATATCACTGCAGTTTGCTGGTGTGTTTCTATATTGCCAATCCCTGGAATTATGATAGTGGAACATTATACTTTAATATGCATATTAATAGGTACTTCCACCTTGATCTCCGAAAGGGTTGTATCATTTTGCATATCCGTTGTGTATGAAATGGCCCATTACTCTATATCATACCTAATATTGGGTATACTTGATTTAAAAAATGTTTTTGTTAATCTGGTGACAAAATTTACAGTTTTTCTGAATATTTTGTTAAATGTCTGTAGGCAACTTGTATGTTTCTTCTTTTGTGGATTTCCAGTTTATGTTTCTTTCCTTCTTTCTTGTTGGGTTTTTTGTTTGTTTAATTGGGGGTTCTGAGTATTACCCTTTGTCTTTTAAACATTCTTCTTTCTGTTTGCCATTTTTTCAAACTAAATGTATTGTGATTTTTCACTGTTTAGTTTTTGGAGTCAGAATTTTGGTCTTTTCATGTATGACATTTGGGTGTCAGGTCATGCTTAGAAACTTCTTTCCACACAGTATTTCAGAATATTCTCCTCTATAATTTAGTACTTTTATAGTCTGCTTTGGTACATAGTTTTAATCCTGTATGTTGTATTAAAGTATGAATCTAACTTTATCATCAACTTGACAAATTTTAACAAAAATAGAAAAAAAATGTGATGGGATTTGAATTAATTTTACATATTAATTTTGGAGGATCTACATCTTTCTAAAAATGAATTTTCCCATCTAGTAGTATGGTTTTTCAAGTAGGTGCTGTGAATTTCTCATAATATTTATGCCTTGTTATTGTATATTTTTTACTGTTCTTATGAGTGGGATCTCCTTTTCCCTTACATTTTCTCTTGGGCTATCGATGGTATAATCTAAAGCTATTGAAATTTGCATATTTAACTTTATTGTATATTCTCACAGTAGTTCTCTGGCTAACTAACAACCAGAAAGTCAAAAATCAGCAGGACTGGTTTTGCAAAGGGAAAGATTCAGTATTAACTTGGCAGGGAAAACGTTGATGTTAACATCTTCTGACCATAGCACAAACGAATATGTTCACTTTAGTTATAATGCTAATGGTTTTGATTCTTTTTTTGCTGATTACTAACATAGTTTCTAATATGAATCATTACTATGGCATCCTTCTGTAAGTATAGAAGTTCAAGTTCACCCAGCAGATAAGGAAAACTTGGCTTATGTCTAGTTTTATTTATTTATTTTTTGGTGGCTGGCCAGTACAGGGGATCCGAACCCTTGACCTTGGAGTTATAACACCACGCTCTAACCAACTGAGCTAACTGGCCAGACCAAGTTTTAGTTTTGAGACTTCTAAGTATATCCATTAATCTAGTGGAGCATAGTAACGTTTCCAAGTTTTCTAAATATTACATTAGTATTGATTTTAATGTTATAAAGAAAAATAGTGTTCTCGGGGCCGGCCCGGTGGCGCACTGGATAGTGCGCCACTTGGGAAGTGCGGCGGCGCTCCCGCCTGAGGGTTCGGATCCCACATACAGACCGGTTCCTGCTCACTGGCTGAGCGAGGCGCGGGGGCAACGCCGAGGGTTGCGATCCCGTTGCCGGTCCCCGGTCCGGTACGGGGGCGACACTGAGGGTTGCGATCCGTTGCCGGACACGGAAAAAAAAAAAAAAAGAAAAAGAAAAATAGTGTTCTCCAACATCATTGGGATTGCCTCTCCCCAAAATGTTAAAAATGATCATTTGAATTAAAATCATCGTAATGATGTTATAAGTATTAAGCTAATGAAAATTACTTCTCTATTTGTTCTTCTGTGAATTAATTGAGTTTGTCACTTACCACCATTTTTTGTTTTGTTTTTAAGAAAATAGACGTTACCAATAAAGCTGTTGCAGAAATTCTTTCAAAAGCCACGGAATATCTTCAGCCAAATCCAGGTAAAGTTAGAAAATGTCTAGAAATGCTCTTGTCCATTCGTTGTCACAGACTCTCATCACCGATGTTTACGTCTTAGGCCTCTCTAGAGTCCCAGGAATAAGCACAGTGTGTTACACAGGGTCTGGGATTAAGAAATACTGATTGCCTAAGTCAGAGTAAAGAAGGTAACAAGCAGTCACTGTCCATCACCTCCCTAGGGCCAGGGAGCTGCGCTGCACCAGGGGGAGCAGCAGCACAAAGCTCGTGTTCACTATGGTGGGGTCTGCTCCTCCTGTGGTTCTGCCTCCTAAACGTGTGCAGCAGACCTCCCTTATGATACTGAATCTCATGTCTGAACCCATTCTTGGGCGCAGAGCGTGTGTGTGTTAATGACTGGTTGGTCATTTGAAACATCTACTTCAGCAATTCTATTCTTAGTTTACATTTGGTCTCCAGGAAGAATGGTCTGCACAGGTGTCAGTGTCTGATTTCACTCGCTGGTAATTGCAAGCGTTCCTAAGGGTCTCACTCTATGGGTGGTGCTTATAATAGCCCTGGTTCCTATTATTTGGAGTCAGTAACGTGTGCCATAATTCCTATGTTCCATCATGGTTATGCAGCAGTGTGCTTAGTACCCTCCTTGGTAAAGAATCTAGAAAATAATGTGAGAAAATTAAATAGGTTACATGCGATCGGTTATTTCATACGTACAGGTCTCTGGCGTTTTGTCTAAGGTGACCTCAATTTTGGCAGCTGTGTTTGTTAAGCATTATATACCTGTCACTCCACCTTGTAACTTTAAGGAATTACAAATGATAATGTTTTTAAGCATACAGAGCTAAGCTAGGAATGCTGAACACTGTGTCGAAGATCCGAGGGCAGGTGAAGACCACCGGATACCCGCAGACAGAAGGCTTGCTGGGAGACTGCATGCTGAAATATGGCAAGGAGCTCGGGGAAGACTCCACTTTTGGTGAGTAGTCATAGATCACCTGGAAGAGCTGAGAACACCTCTCGTGTTGGTTTCAGGTTATGCACAAAACGTTCAGCTTAACAGTTACCTTAGTATTTTTTCAAATTACCAAAGTAATACATGTTCATTGTGGGAGGTTTAGAAAAAAACACAGCAAGTAAAATAAATCCTAAAATCCCATCTCTACTAATAGTCCCAATTAAACTCTTTGTTCTGTATCCTTTATACCTTTTGTTTATTCTTATATGTATTTCACATATACCTTTAAAAAACTACAGTGGGGTTATAGTATGTATACTCTTTCTAATCTGTTTTTTCCCACTGTCTCTATCATGATTCACATCATAAAATAAGTCATCTCCCACAGTATTGTTTTTAAAGGCAGCATAATATTCCATATATCATAGTTTGTTTAACCAATCCCATTTACTGGAGAGTTATGATTTTTTTCTTTGCATAAAAAAAATGTACATAGCTCTTATAATAACCATTCTTATAGGTAAATCTTTGAGAATATCAAAAATTATGTTCTTAGATGAAATTTCTAGTAGTGAAGTTGCTGGGTCAAGAGTATGCCTGTTTTTCAAGTTTTTGAAGCATATTTCCAAATGACCCTCCAGAAAGGTTATATCAGTTTGATATTCCTGCCAGGAGTGTATGAGAGTCTCTTTCCCAGCAGTATGACTAACTCTGGGAGTTATTCTTTTAGCTTACATTTAAATAACTAATAATTTGATATGTAATATATATATCATACTATGCTGGTTTAACTTCGCTTTTTGGATTCTGCCTAAGGTAGAATTTTTTCCATGTTTGTCATCATTTTCATGAATTGTATATTTCATAATTGTGTTCTTTGCCTAGTTTTCCATTTTTTCCCTTACTGTTTTATGAGTTCTTTAAATGGTCAGGATATTTGCCCTTTGCCTGCCCTATGTGTGATGAGTTTTTGTGCCATGTAGACATTTACCTTCTGACCTTGTATATGGAGGTCATTTTAATGGAGAAAGATTTTTAATTTTTATTTAGTGGGGCTTATTAGTCCTTTATGGTTTCTGGCTTTGGCATTATGTTTAGAAAATCTTTTCTATTCTAACCCCCTGTGTGTTATGATACATGTGTTTCCTTTTCTTGCCTGTAAATTTCTAAGCCCCTGAGTTTATTGGAGGTACTGTGCAATAGGGTCCTAATTTTGTTTTCAATCAAATGAACAGCCAATTGTCCCAGCACTTTATTGAAAAATCCAACTTTTCCCTGTTAATTTGAAATGACCCTTTTATTATAGACTAAGTTTTTATATTTTAAGTTTGTTTCTGGTCTTTCTCTTCTGTTTCTTGATCTGTATCCTGTTTTGATTCAGTGTCATGTTTTAAGTATTGCAGTCTTTTATGTATTTTAATATATTTTACTAAAATTTTTCATAGTTGTTTTATTGCAAACATTTCATGGACATACTTGCTGGTTTTATTTTTCCAGATGAAACTTAAGTCATTTTAAGTCCCCTTTAAAAAACAGAAGCTCATTACATTTTGATTTAGAGTACTTTAAATTAATAAATTAGATTGGAATGAATTGAATTTAATATATTAAGTCTTCCTGGAGAACTTAGCATGTTTGCTATTCATGTAGTGGTAACAAGGCAGGATATGGAAATAAGGAATTAAATATTTGGCCTTAGTAATTACTCTAGGTTTTTGTGAAAAAAATCTTTTGAAAACTTAAAAAAATCCAGAGGGTAACAATTTTCCTTCAGGGCAGGGTAAGGTGAATTTTATTTTATTCCAAGGGTCAGTGAGGACAGGATGACCTATTCTTTCTCCTGAAGGCACACCAGTTGAAGAAATAGGTGAGGCTGCCAGGGTATGAAAGCCCTTGCCAGAAGCTGCCACCATGCCCTTGGACTTCCCAGCTCCAGAATCGTGAGCCAAATAAACATGCCAGGGCTGCCAGGCAAGTCCTGAAATCCAAGGGTGTTCCTGCCATGCACCTGGCCATGGTGACTGGGCTTTGACAGCCAGACAATTTGGTAGCTTCCCAGGTGCCCAGCAACTTAATGGAACTTGGGTTCAGGAAGAGAAGTGATGTCAGCAGGGCATCAGAACAGAAGGACATTTGCTGTTCCCAGGAAGAGGCTGTGCCATCGATGCTTTCTTCTTGGGGCTACATGCTGGAACCTTCTAAAATGCAGAAACCTCAGTGGACGGAGGCTGAACCCCATGCCTTCATGGAATTTGATTGTATTACTCTTGGGCAAAGAGAGGGAATGTCGATTCCAGGGAGGCAATGGCCATCATGTTCAGAACATAATTTTAGAGTCTTCAAAGAAACACATCTGAAAATGTTTCTTTCAAAGCTAACTTAACGGCCATTGTGAGGCATGGGCATTGGCGGCAGACAGGGTGGTGAGGTCAGACCTAGTGTTGTCCACTCTGATCAATTGGGCAGGAAAGAGTCCCAGGATAGGAAAGTACGTCCCATCTCCATTTAGGAATGATTTAGAACCAGACTCTGGAGAGCTAAGTTAAGGAAATTTAGCCTCCCAGGAGGAATGAAGCTACCAGTGGGTCGAAATGGAGTCCTGTCCAGCTTTAGTTTCTACTTATGTTTTGCAAGGTCCTATAACAAGGTTTCCACTTCTATTTTGCAAGGTCCTATCTAGTATATTTCTTTTTAAAAAGTGAGGTGAGGAAGATATTGCTATTCCCAGTTTTACAGGTGAATAAATTGTTCATTCCCTCACTGGTAGGAAACAACTTTAAGGTCAGACTTGGTCTGGGCTCTAAGGTCTTCTTCAAGCCTAGGAAAAGAGACCCCAAATCTCCATCTTTTCACAGGGTCAACTTGGAGAACCCCAAATATAGGAAAAATAGTTTAGTCTAGTGCAGCATTTTCCAGGAATGTCTTCTAGAGAAACTGCAACCCTCATTGTACACAGCAACCAGGACATCCGGTGTGCAGTAAACTAGCAAATGACTGTAGGTTAGCTGGGCCCGAGATACCAGGCCGTGATCCTGCAAAATCTGCCTGTTGCTACCCAAGCCCAAGAAGGATGGCCTGAGCCTCCTTGCAAGAGCAGACCCATCCCACCCTGCTGAAAGGATGTCCTGTGTGACACCAGCAGGCTTTCTTTGACATCAGAGAGTATAGGAAGCCTTAGAACCATCTAAAAGGATACAGGGAGTGGCCTCAAGAAGATCCCACAGCTAGAAGCTGCGATGAGGTTTTGTTCAGTTATTTCTATTGTAATCTTTATTGGTTAATACTTAGCCCTACATGAATGAATACTTTCATTGTTTACAAAGAGAGATTTTGTTCTCCAGCTTCTAAGGAACCCCTGGTGCCAGTTTCCAAAAGTACCTTTAAAAAAAAAAAAAAAAAAAGCTTTATCGCCATCTGGTGGCCAAAATGGTAAGTGCTTCCGTCTGTCTTAGCTTCAGTTTTATTTTATGTGGTGGTGAAAGTGCGGAACGTAGAGAGGAAAATGTAGAAAATAGGAAAACTTTCTTTTCTTTTAATTTTTCTTTTTCTTTCTGAGTCAAGATTCAAAAGTCCCGGAGAAAGAACCTTGTTACACTATCATCCACAGATTTTTGGAAGAGAATTAAGTCAAAGTCCGTTTTCTTTCTTTCTTTTTTTTTTTTTTTTTTTTTTTTTTTTTTTTTTCC